ATGGCCACGGCCGCCCACGGCTACGAGAGCGCTTCCCCTCGCCCCCGCGTCACCAGGTACGCTCAGGCCCCCAGCACAGGCACTACACTAGACGATGACGCCTGGGCGTAGCTAACGCTGGAGGCGCACTGCACGTCTTGCGCCAGAGGCTAAACGAGCGCATCCCCCCTCCCCCGCTCGTCACCATGTACGCTCAGCCCAAGCACAGGCACTAGCACTGGACGAGGAGGATGGCGGAGCTCAAGCTCGAGGCGCACGCTGGCACGTGCCCCGGGCTACGAGCGCCTCCACCTCGGCCCCGCTCACCAGGTACGCTCAGTCCCTCAGCACACAGCACTAGCACTGGGGACGAGGTACGCTGGGCTAAGTACCTGCGCGCACTGCCACGGCGCCCGCGGGCTACGAGCCTCCCCCTCGCGCCCCGGCGTCACCAGTACGCTCAGCCCCCAGCACAAAGCCACTAGCACTGGACGAGGAGGGATGCGGCGAGCTCAATTGGAGGCGGCAGTGGCCACGCGCCCCAGGCTACGAGCGCCCTAACACCTCGGCCCCCATCCACCAGTACGCTTCGAGTCCCCAAGCACAGGCATAGCACTGGACGAGGACCCTGCAAGCTACGTGGACGCGCACTGGGCCACGGAGCGCCCCGGCTACAGAGCGCTCCCCCTCGGCCCGCGTCACCAGGTACGCTCAGCCCCACACCGAGCACTAGCACTAGCGTGAGGACGCCTGGCTAGAGCTACGCTGGAGCGCGCACGTGGCCACGCCCCCGGGCTACGAGCGCCTCCCTGCGGCCCCCGCTCACCAGGTGCGCTCAGCCCCCAGCACAGCACTAGCACTGGACGAGTACGCCTGGCTAAGCTACGCTGAACGAGCACTTGGCCACGCCTGCCCGCGGGCCTACGAGCGCGATCCCCCCGGCCCCCACGCACCCAGTACGCGCAGCCCCCAGCACAGCAACTAGCACTGGACGAGGACGGCCTGGGCTAAGTCTACGCGACCCGCACTGTGGTCACGCGCCGCGCTACGAGCGCCATCCCCCTCGGCCCCCCACTCACCAGTACGCTCGCCCCCAGCACAGGCACTTAGCACTGGACGAGGAGGCATGGGCGGAGCTTCAAGCTGGAAGGCGACGTAGGCCACGGCGCCCCAGGCTACGAGCGCCTCCACCTCGGCCCCGCAGTCCCAGACGCTCAGTCTCCTACAGGCACTAGCACTGACGAGACGCCTGGGCCTAAAGCTCGCTGGACCGACCGTGCCACGCGCCCGCGGGCTACGAGCGCATCCCGCCATCGGCCCCCACGTCACCAGTACAGGCACTCAGCCCCCAAGCACAGCGCACTCAGCACGGACGGACGCCTGGGCTAAGCTACGCTGACGCGCACGTGCCACGCCGGCCCGCGGGCTACGAGCGCATTCCCCTCGGCCCTCGCGTCACCAGGTACGCTCAGCCCCCAGCACAGGCACTAGCACTAGGCGAGGACGGATGGGCGGAGCTCACTGGAGACGCACGTGGCCACGGCGCCCCAGGGCTACGAGCGCCTCCCCCTTGGCCCCCGTGTCACCAGGTACGCTCAGCCCCCAGCACAGGCACTATCACTAGACGAGGACGGATGGGCGGAGCTCACGCTGGAAGCGCACGTGGCCACGGCGCCCCAGGGCTACGAGCGCATCCCCCTCGGCCCCCGCGTCACCAGGTACGCTCAGCCCCCAGCACAGGCACTAGCACTAGGCGAGGAGAGAAGGGCGGAGCTCACGCTGGAGGCTCACGTGACCACGGCGCCCCAGGGCTACGAGCGCATCCCCCTCGGCCCTCCCGTCACCAGGTACGCTCTGCCCCCAGCACAGGCACTAGCACTAGACGAGGAGGGATGGGCGGAGCTCACGCTGGAGACGCACGTGGCCACGGCGCCCACGGGCTACGAGCGCATCCCTGTAAGTGTAAGTGCGTAACGGTCGTGGTGTCTTGCAGCCTGTACCGCATGTACACGGTGGCTCGGCCGTGGGCGCAGGCGGCTGCCGCGTGCCAGGGCGACGGGGCGCATCTGCTAGTCATCGACTCGGACGCGGAGGCGCTGGTCGTCAACGAGTTCTGGGCGAGGAGGCCCTCCTTCACGGGCGCCGTCAACGACGAGTGGTTCGCCATAGGCTTTCGCAGGCGCTCCGACCGCAACGAGACGGTTCTCGGACAGCGGCTCGAGGACTCCGGCTACGTCAAATGGGCTCCCGACAAGTGGCACTTGGGCGCAGAGTCCAAGTGCGGTCTAATCGACGAACGACTGTTGTATGCGCTTGATATATGTACGCGTAGACGTCCTTTTATTTGTGAATGGGAAAGTTGGTAAAAGGAAAAATAATTATAATTCAGAATTTATTCGAAAGAAAAGTAAAATATTACTTTATTTTATATCAAAAACAAATTTTTGTTTGTGTGTATTTTGGATGTTCTTTTAAATGAAATACATGAACAATTAATTGAAATACGTATTTTATGTTTATGTAAGAATATTATTGTACGTCCTTTAAGAATGCAGATGAATTTTGAAATAATTGTAAACGTTCTTTGTTACATAAAAATCAAGTTTAATTGCATTATTTAAACTGTTAACTGTCCTCTGTGTTTTCTGTTTATCGACCCTTCATACCGGGAATGATCACTCGGAACTGATGCCACTGCAGTGCGTTTCATCGTGAGGTCCTAGTTTCGAGTCCCGATGGTATCAGGATTTTCAATACCAGCTTGTTAGCTAGGTCGATTTCAGTCACCGTCTGGAGGAGAATTCTAGAAGCCTGTATTTTGAGTTTGATTGATATTTTTCCGTGGGTTTTGCGATCAACACCAGGTGAATGCCGTGGCAGTACTCTAACGAACGGATCACGGACTGCGCTCGGTATCACCTTCCACTTCCTTGTTCTATCCTCAGCCCTACACACACACTTATGCAAACAAGCACTACAGTACTACACACGCCATGAGACCCGTCGGGTCTCCCGGCTACTAAAGCTTGTCCCGCCCGAGCGGTGCCCCACTGATGGGAGATATCTTGTCGGGGAAACCCCGCCTCGCGGACGATAGGTTGTTGCCGAATCTCGCCATACAATGGGGAAAAGATTACTGGCACCCCCGAGCAAAAAATATGCATTTCACTTACGAGTCTAATGCCCCTGGTAGTTGAAATGCTCGGAATCAGACACAATCCATCTATCAATGAAATCGAGCTACCATAACCAAACAAACATACCGTTGGGATAGTTGCCATTTGGTTCCGTTGCCAAACCATGTTTCATGTCTAATACATAGGGAAAACCACAGTTCCTTGCTTATATGAACCGCCAAAATGTTTTGGGATGGGAAATTTTACGTTCCTGTTGACACTGCATCAGTCCTCTGGAATAACAGGAAAAACAGACTGATGGAATAAGGAATTACTGCGTAGACAGCATTTAATTATTGTGATCAACGTATTTTGCAATATTGTTAGAAAATATAGATATTCGCTTTATCTTCCCTCATATGTGCAAATTATTCTGTATGTACATGATTTGTTGTATTTTATTTGAGAAAATGAAACAATGCTGGTAGTAACAGACATTTTTCAGCCATCTCTTAAAAATGAATGAGATTTGTATACTTTTAACTTTTTTGCACTCTTCACATTCACGGGAAGCTCTGTGGCCCATATTTCTTGGATTTTCATTGACTGTTTAGGATTCTACGCGTGTCTAATGCAGGAGATGGCAGTGACAATCCCTTGCTGGTTGGTGAGATCCGGCGCCGACCTAACCTTCGCTTGCAAGGTTTTCCCCAACCACACATTTCCCACCAGCGGAGCACCGCCCCAGCCGAGACCAGATCTAAACTCCCGACATGTGTGGTAGTGTAGTGCACGTAAGAGTAAATCAGTAAGTAAAGGGTGCAGATACGATAAGGACGAGGAAGGAAAGATCGCGGGCGCTTTTGATAGGGTACTCTTCCGGCATTCGCCTGATGTTGACCGGAGAAACCACGGAGAATTACCGATCAGAGCAGCCGGCCTCCTGAGTTCTCCAAACAGCGACTCTATACAACCTAGCTGGCAAGCTAGTGTCTAATATCCTGCAACTGTCTTGTCTTGAACCAAGGTCCTCCCGGTCAGAAACACTGGAGTAGCATCAGTTGATGTCCTGAGTCACCTCTCCCTATCCATATTTATTGGACACTTCACATTTACCTTGTTACTTTTCTTTCTTGTCACTTCAGCTTCTGTTTGTTTACAATGCTAATATTGTGCTACTTTATGGGTCAACTCTCGCGGCAATCATGTTTGTTTTGAGCTCATAATAGATCAAGGGCGAATACGATGCAAACCTCCGTGAGCAATTCTTGGTTTCGGCGATTACTGGAAGAATCAATATTTTAATCTACTGAAAGTTGATCAAGGTGTATGAGGAACAGAACCTTTAAGACTGATATACGATTTAGCGAAATAAACTTTACTTAGAAGACCTACGAGAGACTATACCGCCGCCATCTACCGGTCCATACAACACAGACACACAAAGAAGGCAGAAAATGATGCAAATTGAATCAGACTTGTATAACACCGGGGACGTACTGAACGAAATTGGGAAAAGACTAATGAAGACCAAAGACATGTGGCATGCTATGCAAATAATGGCTTCCACCATAAAGTGTGTAAAACTTAAAGAACTTCCATTAACCTAGTGAAAAATTCATCTATGAGCTTTTTATTCCAACGTGCGACTGATACCATCTCGAAAAGTTTTCAAAATATAAACAAAGGGTCTAAAGAACAATACTTATTGGCTCGAGTGAACTTTCATTCCTTAACAATAAAAGTACTGAAGCCCGCTTGGATTGTGCGGCAGGAAATGAAGGTTAGCGCGAGGGCTGGGCAGGCGATGCGCAGGTGCGCTCTGCTGGGGCAGGGCGCACGGGAGCATCGCGTGCCCAGAGACGTCCGCGAGATAAAAATAATTTCTGAGAATTGACAGCCTGCAATCAGGTGAGGAGTATTGGTTTTCTTTAGAATAATAGATTTGAGGAAATGTATTGAATATCACTATGATAAACTATATTCTCAAATAAAATTGTGCCTGAAATAATAAAGCCTAGGGCCCAAATACTCCCATGCAACCCCTCCCGGTTACGAACTGAGCACTGCAAAGTGTCGGGTGTACATTTGATAGCTGTAACCATCTCCTAAATATGCCCACTGTAAAGTTCCGATGCATGTCCGACATGTCCTCATTCACTGCCCATTATACTAAACGCCAGGAAAAATTACCAATTGATGATACGACAATTCTTGACACCAAGGATTGTCAATTGACAAAGGAGAATACGTATTCAAAGAGTAGCCAAAAGCCAAAGCCAAAGAAATCAACATAAACAAAGACATTATTTAGACACTTAAATGCAGCAAATAGAAAACAGTCAACTATAGGATGTGAATCTATTTTTATTCAATCATCTAGTACTTAACTCAGAACTTTTTTGTAATATTTCAATTTTTGTATTATTGTGTATCTTAAAAATGTTATTATATCCATTTTGTCTATGTACTGAACGTTATATTATTTACTGATTATTACTGTTTGTCACTATCAACCTCGTATGGAGATCATAAAATCTGTCAATCCATAAATATTTTTGAAAAAAAAATGTTAACTTGAAATTTTAATACATTATTGAGTATAGTATGGCTTCTTTGGACGTGAATCAACCAATGTCTGCGAATTTTTAAAAATAAATTGGCCATAATTACAATTAAACGTTGGATTTACGGCGAACATGGCCCACATGGATTCGCCGGTGCCCCCCAAAATATTGCCTTTGTCTGCACATAGTGTACGAGTACACGTAGACTGCAGAGCCGGATGTCGCACATTTCATCTCACGCCGAAGGTGCCGCTCAGCCGCTTGCTCAGCGCTCGAGCCCTGGCCGCCGCGTGCACTTGCACCAAGGGCCCCGTCCGTCGTCCGGTGCGGCCGCCGATGCACCAGCAGCGATCGACTGTCGGCATGAATCGATCTTCGAAGCAGGGAATTTTTCTTTTCGACAACTTCCTTCCACTGAAGTCTGCCGGTAAATGCCGCAAGAGGTTTATCAACAAATTTCCGGACGTGAATGTTCCACATTGGTCGAAAATGTTGAAGCTTTTCAAGAAACTTCGCACTCATGGAATTGCAATTAATAAACAAAAGTGTCGAAAACGTTATGTTCTGACAGAAGACCTGGTGAACGAAATTTCTGCCACGTTCCAGCAATCTCCAGGAAACTCTTTGAAGGGTCTCCCACAACGCGAAGGCGCTCTACTGAACAGAAATAGCAGCTATTCCTCGAGACGTACTTCAAAGAGTAAATCAGATATTTGGTGTTTGCCAAGAATGTATTAGAGCAGAAGAACACCACTTTCAGCAGCTTCTTTAAGGTGAGTTAAGCGTAGTGGTAGTCCCCGTATGTGAGCGCAGGCGTCGAGCCAGGCTTTCGCCGGTGACCGAGCCTTCGCCTCCGCGACGCCGCCCGAATCTTCGGCGAACGATAAAATGTTCGCTCTGAACTCTGCAGTTTATATATAGGTTTTTGAAACAGACTTCTGGGTCAATGTCATCACTTGAAAGATTACTGCACACTTTGCTTAGTATGATCTGTGTGACCCTAGATAAATAAAAACAAAATCAACATTGTTATGACCTATTTAGATCCATCCAAGGTTATCTTCCTCTTTGTGCCCAATACGGTCATCGTTCCTTTTTCCTTACAGTTATATCGATGTCTAGCCTGTTGTGCTCTGCCGTGTTGAATATTGAAAAAATGAGATATTTGACTACATATTATGTACTTCATTACTACAAATTTATAATTGTTTTTTTTCGAGCATAATACAAAAAGGAATTTTGATTAGTACAATATTTTTCATTAACTCATACGAGCGTTAACAGTTAGCCAAACGACGACAAGAAACGTGCGATATTAACTCTCACAAGAAATTAAATTAATCGGCATTATCATTACAGAAATACTATAAATATCCATATGATATATTAAATTCTATTCTTCTCCAATGATTCACATAAAAAGTAATGATTAATTTTAAACTGTTAAAATATCATTCGGTTACTTTATGACTATTTTCATATTTATGATCGCTAGTCAAAAAGATATTTGGCCTTGATGCTGCAAATGAAACTTCAAAAAGAAAAAAATTATCGACTATTAATCCATTAAATCAAAATACTGTTATCGTTAGTTGAACTCGGTGTTCAAACAAGACAAAGTCGTCTTGAATAACATATTTCGCAATATCTGAATGCAAAAAAAGATGCGCGGTTCTTATAAGTATGGCACTCACAAATTATACACATTCCCAGATGCCAGACAGTGTACCACAAAATGTCGTGTTTAGTATTAATTATTTTGCTGTTCTTGAGAGTTTTTGAGGTGAGTCATGAATATTGTTTTAGTGATAATTGAGAAACAGAATTTTCTACTCATAAATTTCGAAATATAAATAATTGTTGTTCATACCATGCAGTATTCGGGTTTCGGGTTTACGACATTCTGCAATGAACCATTGGTTTTACTGCATCTTTGCAA